GCCGACAGCACCTATCATGCGCTTTCCTTACATCAGGACTTCATGATGGTGGTAGCGTATATGTAAAGTTTGTCTCGACCTTACCATTTTTTTTTGGCGCGTTTCTTCTCGCGACGACTTTTAACTACACTTCTCCATTTACTTTTATTATCATCCTGATTCAATCAATATTTTTCTTCTGGTATGCGTGCATTCCACTACCACGCTGTCATTCACACCGAAATCACTTAATTTTTTAGCGTTATTATATTCTCGGCTGTGTTGTAGCAAGGATGCTGTATGGCAGGACTTGCCCTAACCACCTCTAAGTCTAATGCATTCGGCTCTTCATGCCAGCTATTGCTTAAATTCTACAGTATTAATTATAAATATTGCAGGACTGTGGTTCAGGACATGGAGTAACTACAAGCACTGTGGGCAACTCCATCCAGCGCTCAGCTCCAGCGAGGGAGAGTGTAATTATACGCCAGCGCCACCTCTGTGCGAGATTATTGCTCAAATGAAATCAACTAATAAACCATTAAAAAAAATAATGACACGAACGAAAAACTTCCTCCATAAATAATGATAAATTTATTCAAAAACCAATCAATTTTCGATGCCATTCTATATATGCACAATCCTACGAGCTATTTCATTATGGGGAGTTTTCTAGTGAAACATCTTGGCGAAATTTAACAAGTTACCACCTTGCCTCTCTGTCGGGCGAACAGATTGCTGCCACCATCAGGCTTAGCAACCTTTCATACGTTGTTGTTCATTGTTATGAAAACGACCAACATGACGTTCTGGTATTACACTTATTATGAGTACGTTTTGGTTAAAAAACTTATTTCTATATTCTTGTCTTTTCATTGATTCGGCTAAGCTTCAGCATGTACAGCAAGTGAGAATGTATTTGCAGGGTAGATTTCTTGTGATGTATGCATAATGATAGCGGCCTACATTGCTACGCTGTGGCTATATGCCCGCCAGCCCGGGCACGTCTTCGTTTCCTAAATGCCCCGGCAGTTCTTAACCCTAACCCTAAACCTAACAAAACCCTAACTCTAGCCCTAAACCTAACCCTAACCCTAACCCTAATCCTTAACTCTATAACCCTAACCCTTGTTTACTGAGATAACGCTAAAAATTTAAAAACTGCGGGGCATTTAGGAAATCGAAGACCGGCGCCGCGGCAGCCCGTCAGATATACGCCGGCTGCCGGGCACACTAGCCACTGCTGTACTATGTAACCACAGGCACCATGCCACTTGCGAATGGACTGTCCGGGTTCGATAAATAGCAACCCAAGGCTGCCGCCTACCGTAAGCTTGTGTATAAAGAGTGTATATGAGAGTACATGGTGTGGTATGTGAGTGTCTCTATATTACACTCTTATACACACTACGGTAGGCGCTGAACAGGGTGTTGCTATCTTATCGAACCCCGACCAGCCTAGTCGCAAGTGTCGGGCCGAGCGCGCCGCGCGCGCGCGCCCAAGGGCATAGAGAACATGGGTCCCGAATAAACAATGTGCCTACCCGTAACCCTAACCATAACCCTAACCATATTATATTGACTGAAATATTATAATTTATAATTGATGCAAATGACATTGGTTTTATTGGCGATCCATGTTCTCATATCCTTGAACCCAGTGGCCGGATTGAACGTTTGATTGTTAGGTATCGCAATGTGCTCACTACTACGTACTAGTAGTACTAACTAGTAGTAGAAGGTCATTAGTGTGCTCAATTGGCGTCTATGTCCCCAGAGTGTACTTGCCGCGAACGTACCCTGCGGTAACGGTTCGGAATATACCGGAACCGTACCCTGGCGTCCTATTTGATAATGATTAGGGTTAGGATTAGGGTTAGGTTCGGTTAGGGCAGTAGGCCGTAGGCACTCTCTAGACTCGTTACTGCGAGTAGCACGAGTACGGTCTGGAAGGTGTTAGCATTCAGTACCAGGGTACGTTCCGGTATACTGGACCGTACCCAGGGTACGTTCGGCAGACCCCGGGCGGACATAGACCCTCTCGCCTAAGTCAGGTAGTAGTAGGTAGTAGACTAATTAGTAATACTGTCACTACCAGTAACGTTGATATTCAATTATTATTGTCCGATATTGGAAATAGATTCTGCACAGCACAATTGGACCCAGCTACTCGCTCTCACTACAGTCTGCGATCGTTGCTGTTCTCAGCTTGATAAGTACTAATAGTAATAGGATCACAGTTGAGTTTAGCTAAATCAGATCGCGTTGCGGACCCCAGGACATAAACCATCCCACCATAACCGCTATACATAACTCTTATTCCTTAGCCTACATTACATGTTGCCTCGAAATAAGAAAAAAAATGTAGCGTTGTCCTGCGCGACAACCCAGGATCAAATCGGGTACTTGTCCGCCAACAATTTACTCGTTGTCCAAAAAATATCCAAAATCTCCTATTTTCAATCACATAATAATATGGTCAGAAAAACCACCCAAAAACACTGGTGTAGCAGGATTTTATTAACAAGAGTGGCCAAAAAACAGCAAACTGCGCAAAATAGTGGATGACTTAACACTTTAATGGTTCACCGCTCTCCCTCTTCCACACCCTACGGCTCCTTACGCTTCGTCTGCAATCTTTGTCTGGGTGCCATGCGAAAAGGCGACATTTTTGTTTCATTGTTCTCTGCCCTGCCAGATATGTAATTGTTCAGGCGGATCTAGGATTCAAAGAGTGGGTGAAAAAACAGGCAAGAGGCGGGTATGGGGAGTCCTCCCCCAGAAAATTTTGAAATGTAGATCGCAGCGAGATCGGTATTTGCGGCACTTTTGAGTACATGTACAGCCTTCATTCTGACTACGACAATTCTCGTTTAAAAAACTTTGTGATCAACATTGAATCCCCACTGTTGTTTGTTTTGCATGGGCAAAGCCATTACATCGGAAAATTCAAATAATAATGGAATAAAAATACCAAAATGTAGGGGTGACACTTGCTGGTTTGCTGGTTCCAAATCGAGCTTCACCTTCATAAATCAGAAAACCTGACATATACCAGTGTTGGAAATAAGCAGCTGGTATGCGTCGCTTTCCCACACCATAGATTAATCGCGGGCCGCCAGCCTATAAGTGCTCTTGGAGAACACCTGAGAAAAACATAAATAAAGTGCGTTTTTGCGTCACATTTCTTGTTGTCCACCGACAATGTCTCAGACTGGTCTAGGTTGTCCGGCGCAAATTCTGGTTGTCTGTCGACAACCGGACACGCTTATTTCGAGCATTCTCGTAGCTATTCTACTGGTTAATATTGTAGCATCTCTGTCTCTCCAGTCAGTGTGCTCCCGCGGCTCGGCGCGACGTTCGTGGGTTGGCAGTGTGTCTCCCTGTCGTGGGTAGGCTATAGCTCCCTTCAGTTATAGGTATACCTTCTCGGGGGGCTCTCCTCCGACGGCTGTGTGCCGCATCTCAATTGCCTCGTTCGTGTGCCGTCGAAGACTGACTGCATTTTACCATTGCAGATCTTGGCTGCTTATATAAGCAGCTGCGATGACGTAGGAACCTGGCAGTGCCTCCCTCGCCCGTGCCCCAGGTGCCTGGCCGTTGTCCCCCTTGCTTAACACTTGTACACGTGGATGCAACCCCCTTGTCCAGTATATGTCACGGCGTCATACCCCCCTGTCTGCACGTGCTCGCCCGGCGCATGTACGTGATGGCAAACTCCCTGATCATCCTCCCACATCTGGTAGGCCATGGACCCCCTTCCCCTCGCTTGTTTGCTGTCGCTGGGAAAACTTATTACCTCTGGTGGGTGGCTGGTCTCTGGTTGTTATGTACGTCATCCCCCTGAGATCGACACACTATGCTGCTGTTCTCTACACAATCAGTTACGCTGAGAGGGTCTATGTCCCCGGGGTACTGCCGAACGTACCCTGTACGGTCCGGTATACGCGAAACCCTAGTCGTACTATCTAATATGCCGAACCGTAACTCGCCTACTCCACTAACGAGTCTAGGGAGTGGCCTACGCCTACTCCCTAAGCCGAACCCTAACCCTAATCCTAACCCTAACCATATCAAATAGTGACCAGGGTACGTTCCGGTATACCGGACCGTACCCAGGGTACGTTCCGGCAGTACCCTGGGGGACATAGACCCTATGAGCATTAGTTACTCAGAAATCTCCCTCCCATATCCCCACGTTCTTCCCTTCCAGAGATATTCTCACTTTGCTGTCGTTCTCTGTGCTTCATTAATGAGGAAGCTCCCTCTCTTATTCCTGCATTCTTTCCTTCCAGAGATAGTTATGCTATTCTGCTATTCTGCACATCTTAGACTGGGAATTTTTTCCCTCGTTTTAAAATCCCGGCATTCTTCTCTTGCAGTGATATTCTTGCTTTTCTGCTATTCTCTGCACATTCTTTCTCCAGCGAAATTCTCAGTATTCTGCCATTCTCTGCACATCGTTGACGAAGAATTTTTCCATCTCACATTCCTGCATTCTTTCCTTGCAGTGATGTCTGTGCTACGCTGCTGTGAATTGCACATTACTCTAAACTGAAATTAAAACATCTTTGATTGGGAATCTTCTCGCACCTCCCAACCCCACTTTCTTCCGTTCTAGCGATATCCTCTCTTTGCTGCCATTCTCTGTGTGTCATTGACGAAGAATTTGTTCCTCTCACTCTCATCCCAGCATTCTTCCCTTGCAGTGATATCTGTGCTATGCTGCCTTTGATTGCACATTACTCTACATGTTGGTGACGTAGAGTCTTTCCTTCTCACCTCCCCCCTCCTATTCTTCCTGTCTAGTACATCGTTGACATGGACTCCCCCCCCTCTCTCTCACTCTCACCTCCCCCCATTCTTCCTGTCTAGTACATCGTTGACGTGGACTCCTCCCCTCTCTCTCTCTCTCACCTCCCCCCCCCAATTCTTCCTGTCTAGTACATCGTTGACGTGGACTCCTCCCCTTTCCCTCTCACCTCCCTCCCCCCATTCTTCCTATCTAGTACATCGTTGACATGAAATCTTCCCCTCTCTCTCTCACCTCCCCCCGCGTGCTTCTCCTTGCAGCGATACTCGCGAGGCTGTCTGCGGCGAACGACGAGCTCGAATTCGACGAGGTGACGTGCGGCTCCATCGTGAAGCTCCTCAACACGAACTATCGCACGCGCCTCCACTCGCACGACGTCAAGTACGGCTCGGGCAGCGGTCAGCAGTCGGTGACGGCGGTCGACGTCAGCGACGACCACAACAGCCACTGGCAGGTGCGCGGGCCGCACAACGCAGCCGCGTGCGTGCGCGGCGCTGTCGTGCGCTGCGGCGACGCCATACGACTCAACCACGTAGCGACAGGTGCGAACGTGTTCTCTTGTCTTTCTTCTTCAGTGGGCGAACGTGTTCTCTTGTCTTTCTTCTTTAGTGGGCGAACGTGTTCTCTTGTCTTTCTTCTTTAGTGGGCGAACGTGTTCTCTTGTCTTTCTTCTTTAGTGGGCGAACGTGTTCTCGTGTTTCTTCTTCTTCAGTGGGTGATCGTTTCGAGCGGTCGGCCGCCTGGAGATGGTTTCCGAAAACCCGGCCAGTCCTGCTTTCAGAAATGTTTATTTTTGCTATGTAATCCATGGTAAAATCCGTACAGATTAACCGGTCCTACTCAATAGTTACCAGTTCCAGAATGAAGTTGGTTTGCTATATCCAACACTATTAATCATGCCCCGTTGCAGCAAGCGATGCTACCTCATAACCACATTTCTAAAGAATGTTCTTTACAGTTGAAGGAACTGTAACAAAGGAGGCAGCCCAATGCCTCCAATGCGGTCCAATGTAATTAAAATTTCTTTTACTCAAATTTATTAAAAATAAGCCGAAAAACTTTACTTTATTGGCAATGGCTGACAAAATGACAACAAAATCCCGGGTATTTTTCACGATCCTACTACGTCGCGACGAAGAGATTTTACACGTATTCTCACTATTCGTTATATTTTACCACCAGGACGCAATCTGCACAGTCACTTCTTCCAGTCCCCGCTGTCACACAACCAGGAGGTCAGCTGTTTTGGGGAGGGAGGTGACGGAGACACGGGAGACAACTGGGTGGTTGTCTGCTCAGGTAATTAATTAATCATCGCATTTTAACGAACCCGTCTTATCTGTCCAATTGAAATAACCACGTGCCACATGGACTTCGGCATTAGGTCTTTCAAGCTCGTCCGACACGTGAACATGCGTTTCACGCGCAAATGCCCGAATCTGGACTTGGCAGCACTACGTTGCTAAGCATAGTCTTTAGAACACAATAACGCTACAACGATTGGCTGGAGCTACGCGATTGTCCAGGCCTGTCGTTTCGACACGCCCGGAATGCGCGACGACGACGACGATGACGACGTCGCTCGCCCCCATCGTATGACAGAGCCTCTCGTTTGTCGCAGGCGATCACTGGGAGCGGAACGAGCCGATCAGGCTGCGGCACCAGGACACAGACGCCTACCTGCACCTCACGGGCGACTCGTACGGACGCCCGATCCACGGACAGAAGGAGGTGAGCGGCTACGCGAGCCCGCACCCGGGCAACTACTGGCGCACGCAGGAGGGAGTCTACATGATGCCGAAGAGAACCGACGTCGTATGAGACGACGGCCACGTGGCTAGCCTGCGTGCAGTGCTAGCAGGACTGCTAGGTTAGCACGCGTAGACTAGCCTGCATGGCTAGTCTGCAGTGCTAGCAGGACTGCTAGGTTAGCACGCGTAGACTAGCCTGCATGGCTAGCCTGCGTGCAGTGCTAGCAGGACTGCTAGGTTAGCACATGTAGACTAGCCTGCATGGCCAGTCTGCAGTGCTAGCAGGACTGCTAGGTTAGCACGCGTAGACTAGCCTGTATGGCTAGTCTGCAGTGCTAGCAGGACTGCTAGGTTAGCCTGCATGGCTAGCCTGCAGTACTAGCAGGACTGCTAGGTTAGCACGCGTAGACTAGCCTGCATGGCTAGCCTGCAGTGCTAGCAGGACTGCTAGGTTAGGATGCCTAGACTAGCCTGCATGGCTAGTCTGCAGTGCTAGCAGGACTGCTAGGTTAGCACGCGTAGACTAGCCTGCATGGCTAGTCTGCAGTGCTAGCAGGACTGCTAGGTTAGGACGCCTAGACTAGCCTGCATGGCTAGTCTGCAGTACTAGCAGGACTGCTAGGTTAGGATGCCTAGACTAGCCTGCATGGCTAGTCTGCAGTGCTAGCAGGACTGCTAGGTTAGCACGCGTAGACTAGCCTGCATGGCTAGTCTGCAGTGCTAGCAGGAATGCTAGGTTAGCATGCGTAGACTAGCCTGCAGTACTAGCAGGACTGCTAGGTTAACACGCCTAGACTAGCCTGCATGTGGTACTAGCAGGACTGCTAGAACTGCGGTGCTTGCGTGCTAGCATTGCAGTGGGAGTCGGACTGGGGTGCATTCTGTGATCACAAACTACCGGATGCTTCTTTCTAAACTTGCCCGAACAGTTAGATCAAGAAGAAAACCAATGTACAAACAGGGCAAACGTATCCTGTCAATTAGGAAAGTGTTCTGTGTGTCAGCGTTGGTTCACAAATGGGGGTAGGGTTTTGTTTACTTAATAGTGCACGAGAAAATTTGGTCCATTTTGATACTTCAACACTATCATTCCGTACAAGATTGGTCGAATATTGTGACATGCACACCAAAACTTGTTTACGCGAGATTAAATAGTATAATTTTACGAAATCGGTCTGATACAAAACCAGAATAGTACAACTTGTGTCATCACTGCGAGGGGCAGCACAAGAAGTGTTATCAATTGTTAGCAATAAATGTCCAATGGCTGTCTTTAAAATCAAGTTTTTATTTCTTTCTGAAGAATATTTAACAACAAAATTAGGTTTAATAATTTGAACATAATTACAACTCGATTCAACCAAGAAGACGGCTTACGACCAGGTGTGTGTTAACCTTTAAGTTAATTTTCTTCATGCCAGTTCCAAAATTGGTTTGACTGTCGCATGTCAGTCTGTATGTACGTACGTATACATATGAAAAAGAAAGGTATGTTGTACTAGTTATTGGTGGTATAATCAATATATCACAGGTGCCT